TCTGGCAGTGCATGGACGGAGACCACAACCAAGCATGACATTCCAATTTTTTTTTTTGCAAAACAATAATGAAGGAATAGGCTGGGCCATTTTTCTACTCTAGTATGGGTTAACTGGGTTCAGCGCAGATTGTCACATGCCGGGATGTTGGGTTTTTAAGACCTATGACAAATTCTGAAGTTTCACAGACACTGCCCATAAAAGCAGATTTCTCACCAAAACTGCCCTTGGTGTAACATGGTTTTTCCGCTGGCTTCTGACCCAGAGGCAACTGCATTTCCACAGTGTCATACATGGAAGCAACCTGGAAGTCTTTGGAGTGAAAAGTGCAATCTCATCATTAAACACTGCTGCATAGTCTCCAGTGATTTGTGGTGAATGGTTTTAGAAGGATGGAATGTAAAGAGGGTTCCAGGATTCTGAATATTTTGCAGAGATTAGGGGTTCAATGCCATGTCCCACAGAAGAATGGAAGATCCAAAGGCAAACTGATAGACACAGAGTTTGAAAAGTTGTGATCTCCACTTTGCATTCCCTATAAGCCTCAGACTTGTGCTTTAGTTTCCCTGGACTTTAACCTGTTAAACTTTTTTTCTTTTTCACTGATTCATTTTGGACTCTATGAATGAAATTAAAGCATTCTCAGTATTAGTGGTATTAGTGTAGAAGGGATTTAGACAGCACTTCTTAATATTGCTCCCTACTCCCTGCTGGTGTTCCTAGTGCTTGAGCAGTTCAGAGGAACTGCAGAAACATTGGGGCAGCTGAGCCTGCCTTGCTTGCATGTGTCAAAACAGTGTTTGCTTGCTCTTATTTTGGTTACTGTCACACTTAGAATCATAGAATCATAGAACCACTAAGGTTGGAAGAGACCTCCAAGATCAAGTCCAAGCTTAAGGTAAAAGCTGTGCCAAGTATTATGTCCACTTCCATTTCACAGAGAATCCCAAACAGGTGGATTTATCCTCCCTCCTGTTGGCTCTCACCTCTGTTTTTTTCCTCGGCAAATTTTCACTTTAATCACTTTATAACTGAGGCATCTGAATACTCACAAGTACCAGGTTGCCTGAGGCAGAAGAAGGGAGCATATTCAGACCCCCTAATAGGAGACATCCAGTATGACCCAAATAGGGGTCTTGTACTTGAAGGCCTTTGCCTCCAGAAGAGTGTTTGAGGTGCCCAGAGGAGCTGATAAGAAGCATGAGCACTGGTAACAAGGCTGAGCAAGCAGGCATTTGATTATTTCTCAGTACTTATCAGAGGAAGCGTGAAGCTCTCCCTAATTAAGAGCTAATGCCAACTTCTGTGAAATTTATTGTCATTCACCTGTGAATTATCCTCCTCAAATTTAACTTGACTGCAGGAAGCCTGTTAGCAGTAACACTTTCCTCAGTGAGCTTAATTTGGATGGTAAAATGCCTCTGTAGCTGCTTATTGAATGGGACTTGATGTTGGTGAGCATTGGAGGCCTGGAACAGCAGCTTGAGTCAGCACTTAGAATTCTAGACATACTTCATGTCCTGGGTACTTAAAATAGAAATAGAACTCTTTCAGCAACAGGGCAAGGAGGAATGACTTTTAACCAACGGAGAGTTAGTTTAAATTGGATATTGGGAAGAAATTCTTCCCTGTAAGGGTGGTGAAGACCTGGCAGGTGGTTGCCCCATCCCTGGAATTGTTCAAGGCCAGGTTGAACAGGGCTTGGAGCAACCTGGGATAGTGGAAGGTGTCCCTGCCCCCATGGCAGGGGGGTGGAATTGGATGAGCATTAGAGTCCCTTCCAACACAAACCATTCTATGATTCTGCTCACAGGCACTCTGAAGAGGGGAGGTTTCCAGTAGAGGTTACACATTCAGAGACCTGAAGTGAGGATTTTAATTAGTCAAAGTGCAGGTAGCCTGCCCAAACTAGAAAGACGAGTATGATGTCCCTGCACCCAAGTCATTTAACTATTAACCCTGAAGGAGAATAAGGAGATATCTAGAACAATGACCCAGTTAATTCTGGGTGCAGCACTTGAGTGCAGAGTTATTTGTTGCTACCTGTGGGTCTGGTGATATCATCTGCAGACTCTTGGCAGAACAGGAGGCCAATATTTTAAGTTGGGTTTTAAGGTGGATTTGTCATGAATTCATCTGACACGGGTGTAATGCTACGACTTTATTTATCTGTTGCTTGTTTATGCTGAGCTGGAGGCACACAGCCAAGGAGGGATGAGTACTTGGACATTATAACCCAGCGTTTGGGTCGCACAACCAGATTTTGGAGCAGAAACCTGGCTTTTTTATTCACCCTCCATAAAACATTATCCAATGGCTCAAAACCTGAATGACTCTTCATGTCCTGGAACCACGAGCTGCATTTATGCTCCCGTTCAGTTGAGGGTCCTAATAGGGTTGGTTCATAAAGGCAATGGCAGCCGTCCCTTCCTTGTACCCTTGGTGGCTGCGGGCTCATCCTGCTGAGCTGCTCCAGAGCCTGCTCTTTGCAGCCAGCAGCGAGAGAGGTTAAAAGCCTGTGGGCGGAGGCCGGCACAGAGTGCCCATTGTACATGCGTGCATACCAGAGCAGTAACTCCCTGGAATGCTGCGCCGCCGAGCTTTTACCACCTTGTGTTTGTGCTGCAGCCCAGGAGAGTGTGTACATTGTGTCCCTCTCCATGTAGATTAACAGTGTAAAACGTAAAACGGCAGATAAATAAGAACTTTTTTTTCTTTCTTTCTTTTTTCTTTTTCTTGATTGGGCCGGTTGGAAGAGGAAGGTGTCTCTGACTCCCATCACCTCCACAAGCACAAGGAGAGGCAAAGTACAAAGTCGGTCAATTAGGTGGAGCAGCTCCTTGCAACTGGGTGGCTTTCATGTTCTAATTGTGTTAGTAATTTGCAACTACCACATGGTTTGTGTTCAAAATGCATCGCATTTTGTAAGGGCATTAACTAACCCACTCTACCATGGGTTTGAAGGATCCTTGTTTCCCAGAGGTGAACTGGAGACTTGCTGACCACAGGGTGAGTCAGGGCAGACCTTGGATCTGTTGGTTCCTCAAGATTATCTCAAGTGAGACCAGTGCCACGAGCTCTGGGAAATTAGTCTCTCCACTATTGCCAGGAGATGTGCAACTCAAGTATAAGTGTTTTTGTGGTGTATTTTTCTATCTCCTGTGAGCTACAGAAACCATCCCTAAGGCCAGAGGGCAACTCCAAGTTCTTTTGCATCTTCTTTTTCTTTTTTTTTTTGTTCTTTCTGCTTGGGTTGTCAGCTTGTGCAATTTATGGGAAATTCATTTGAATTTATGTCTGTTGAGACCTGGCTGGAAGTCCCTGAGTGATTTCATGGAGCTGTAAGACACTTAGAACTTTCCACTAGTAGCCATACATGCCCAGGTCAGAAAAGTGACATAGGGCCACACTCCAGTGCAAATGTGGATGTATAACTAATGAAAGGCACTTGTTATTACTTCTTGTTGAATTTCAAGTCTCAGCAAGGTACCTTTAAAAGGCAAAAAGAAACCAGTGGTACAAGGACATGTGTTTCTTCTAGGTGAGCCGTGCTGTACACACTGGCACCGTTGTTCTGATTTGGTGATAGGTAGCAAGATTTTTTTTTTTTTTTTTTTTTTTTTTTTTTTTTTTTTTTTTTTCCTCTGCGGCATATTGCTGCCAAGAATGACCTGGGAAATCCCTGGCTGTACTCAGATCTTGATGGCAGTTGGTCAAGTGTAGCTGAGCTAATCTATCAGGGAGCTACTCCTGCAAGAGCCAGTCTGCACTACCAGCACCTACTCCTGGCAGTGCCTTCCTGGTTCCTTCTCCATTTGCCAGAAGTGTTACTCATTGTTTCTCCTAAAGTAGTAGAAAATATATTTATTTCTCTCTACTAATTTTGTAGGCTTAGAGTTTTTTTGTGGATTCTTCTGCTAATTTTGTGGCTTGAATTGGCTTGCTATGAGGAATGTGTGTTTGGGGTGGCAGTGGGGGAGTTTTAGGGAGGGTGTGTGAAAGCACCTCAGTACCTTTTAAAACACCCCATAAGTATTACTTTTATTACTTTTAAGATGTCCTTGGGTGATATAACTTTTGCCTCAACTCAAAATTCATAGCTTCTCCCTTTAACTGAGGCTTTGTAACATCCCAAGCAAGAGTGTTTCCATCTCAAAGAGTTCAATTTCTGATGTTCTAAAGAAAGGTAAAATTCCCAAGGTTGAGAGCACACTCTGTGCACCATCCAGCCCAAGGCTTTTCCACAGAACAGTGGAATGAGGCCATGAGGAACTCTGGAAAACGTTGAGTTAACTTTCCTCCATGCACCTCAATGCTTGGGACACTGACATGCCCTGAAAGAAGCCCAGGTGGATCCTCCTCCAATTCCAGTATCCCACAGAGTATCTTGAACTGCAGTTGGTCTCTAATGAATTATTCATCCAAAGCAGGATTACCCTCAGAATAGCTGGCAGCCAAGGGCATGTATCTCTCACACCTGGGAAGTGAAGGAAACAGAGGTTGAAACTCTGCTGCTAACTCAGAGGGTAGCGCCATGTTTTCTGTGCTTTGATCACTGGGTTATTGTTTAACCCAAGGCTGAGTTTAGTTTTTGTCCCTGACAGAAACCCTGTGACAGTGACCACATCAAGATAATGTGGAGGTTTATGGGTGTGGAGAGCTAGCTGACCCCTCATTTATTGCACAAGTCGAGTTGAAGATGTTTGCATTTAGAAAACAGTTTGGGTTGGGGTATTTGTTTTTTGTTTGTTTGTTTTTTAATTTATATCTATTGTCATCAATATAACAATAGCGATGGCAATTGTTCATTGCTTTGTGATGTCAGATCCAGCCCTCAGAAATGCTGGTGGGCCTTGGTTCCCATTTTGCTCCAAGGAAAGCTCTTGAGATGCTGCAGGTGCCTGAGTGTGCCCTATGCCCTTTTTCAAACTTCTCCACACTCATTTGATGTATGTGTGCATGTGCTAACTTCCTCTTTCTTTTCTCCTTTCTTTTGCCAGTGGCACATTTGGTCTCTTCTGAGCATCTTGCAGCCTCCGGGTGACCGGGACATTGAATTTGCTGGACAGTTGCCATTCGCTCCCTGGAATCATATCTGCCCTTGCTTCCCTCCCCTTCCTTACTCCCCTTCCCTCCAACCAAACTCCAGGGTGTTGTGATATTGCCATGGAGCCCAGAGAGACTTTGAGCAGCTCCCGGCAAAGGGGAGGTGAGGCAGACTTTCTGCCAGCTGCCGTCACCTCCACAAAGCCTTCGCCTGTCTCGGGCTGTGCAGGGGAGACGATGATGTCTTCGTCAGGCACGGGGAAAGGGATCCCAGTGAGCAGCGAGAGGCTGGAGCCTGAGGAAGAGGATGAAGCTGGGTTCTGGAAGAGACGTGGATTCCACTTCCAATGCAGACAGTGAAAAATGGGTGGCGGGAGATGGCCTGGAGGAGCAGGAGTTTTCCATCAAGGAGGCTAACTTCACGGAGGGGAGTTTAAAACTAAAGATCCAGACCACCAAGAGAGCGAAGAAGCCCCCAAAGAACTTGGAGAACTATATTTGCCCTCCCGAGATCAAAATCACTATCAAGCAGTCTGGGGAGCAGAAACTTTCCAAGAACTGGGAAAAATAGCAAAACAACTAAAGAGGAGGACAGATCACACTCCAAAAAGAAGGTAGGTCCCATTTTTAAATATTTCCAGTTTCTCCCAGAAGCAGAGGAGAGGGAAGGAATGAATCTTCTCAAACAGTCTGTGTCCAAGGCATAGCCTTTGCAAGATTTTACCTTGAAGCAGCACAGAGCAAGTATCATCCTGCACTGCCATGTATGCTTCAGGAATGATCTTGAACTATCCTTCAGATGAACCAGTTCAGAAGGGATCAAAAGTTCAACGAGGCTTCTTCTATTTTTGTATGTAATTGAGTTTTGAGATTAATGATTACATGAGTGAGAAATGAAGGAGCCCACTTCTAAACTGCTTTGTGCCTGAGCACTAATGCTCAAGCCTTTTGGCAGTTAAAGCATTCAGCTGCATTTTTAAAATAGAGGTGTGTGCATGGTGAACAACTGAATTCATTCCTGTATTCTGGGTGATGGGCTCCATTATTCTTGATTACAGCATTGTGTGAGCAGCACTATAGTTATGCTACAGAAAATACTTCCATTATAAGTCTCATTTTCTTCCAGATGCATATCATTTTCTTGAAATATTCTCCTGCAGAGAAATTTTTGATACTTTAATTCTGGGTAAAAATAGAACTTTTTTTTTTTTTTCCACATATGTGAGGATGAGAAAAGAAAGAAAATCCTTTCTTCATTATGAGCTGTTTTCAGCTTTTTTCACCTTTTCATTTTTCTGTAGTGTCACCTACACTTAGTACATAGACCAAATTTAGTTTGTGTATTAAGCAGCACTGCTGGGGACACAAATTTTTGTATTAGTGCTATTTTCTGTCCTAAGCATTAGCTAAGTATGTTTGGTCAGGTCATAGTAAAAATACTTCACCTCTGTCTCCTTAGTAAGACATAGATTTAATGATGAGTTCAGACAGAACCCAGATTTGACAAAAGATGCGCGAGTATCTCCTACACCTGGACAAATGGATCCAGGATTTAGGCACCCACTGATTAGGGCTTGGGTTCTTGGCTTGGTTTCCCTGCTCATGCAGCTTTGATCCTTCTTCTCCCATCCCTTATACACGTGGTGGATGCTGAAAGGGCTATGTGAAGCCTTGAAGAGCTAACTGCCACCACCTCTTCCTGGAGAAATCCTCCTCAGCAGACAGGACTTAGACCAAAATTTTCATGACTCAAAATCACTTTAAGCATTGATATTTCCCATTGACTCAAGGCAGAGCCAGGGAGATTAACATCACTCACTTTTGGAGTACTTTTCTTACAAGCAGAACTTGAAAACAAACCAAAAAAAAACCCAATTCAAGGGGATTTTTTTTTCTTAATCTTTTAAGTGATGTAGTGTATGGGCATGAAAGAGGTAGCTCTTTTTAACACAGCAGAGGTCTGGCCCTATAACACTTTGAGAAGAGATTTTCCCACCTATTGAAAAGGATGAGCTGCCTTCTTAGCAGCAAGCAATGTCTAATTTCAACTTTCCTGTCCTCCCTGAATGTTTGTAGAGGTCTCAGGGGAAGCAGCAGTTTATGAGACTATGCTCAGTGACAGCGAAGATGTCACAAGCAAACCTTCTATAGATATGTAGAGGGGAAACAAAGAACTGCAAACCCCTGCTTACTATACACGTGGGCTGTGGAGAATATGACTACACAAAATCAGAGCCTTTTCTATGTATCACCAGTGTGATGGGCATGGAAGGCGTGTTCTTTTTCTGTGTGGTCATCCAAAAAGGTTGAATAAATAAAGCTAAGCATAAGGAAGTTATGCGCAAAAAAAACCCCAAACAAAACCAAACAAAACCAGTGGGAACAATAGTTTAAAAAAAGGCACTTTGTAGCATGCTTATCCTCAGGGTGATGACTTTATTGCGGCAAGGATAAGGGAGCTTGGAAAGAAACAGACCACGGCTCAGACATGGCTGCGTCCAGCTTGCACCTGTGTTGCGAGGTCCGAGCTGGAGCTGTGTTCACACACACCATATTCTCAAGCTGGGAGCGCTTTGGGTCAAACACTGGTCTAATCTGGCCATTAAAACAAACAAAAAAACCTCAGCACTCAGCAGGTGGGTGCTCTGAGCAGATGGGCAGAAGGCTGCTGCCCGGTGCACCATTAGCATAACACCCAACGGCTGCCTGGCGGCAGCTGCTGAGCCACAGGCTGTGGCAGAGATGTCCCCAGCAGGGGTCTGGAAGACCCCAGTGCTGTGATCTCAAGGGGTGTGCCTGATGCCTGGAGAGCTACAGTCTGCATCACCAGGATGGGGAATAACCTGCGTCCCTGCAGCCGGGGGAGTTTCACACACCCCTGCCACTCAGCTCGTGGGTTTCCAGGATCAGGCTGTGAACATCTCGCCTCAAGGGGTGATCAAAGACACTGCAGAAGGGAGGCTGGGAGCAAGTGGAAGAAAAGTTCTGGTGGTGGCAGAATGATTTCTTCTATGACCAATATCTATCTTGGGATGGACACAGAAATTTTTCAGGGCAAGATAACTAGAAGGAAACAGCAAGTTGAAATTAGCATGATATGTAGCAGTCTGGTCTATCTGTGTGTTTCCCTGGAAGAGCAGAGCATTCAGGAACCCTATGCATTTACTTGCAGAGCCACTGAGAAAATGCAGTAGTCGTTGTAGGGGAAAAAACAAAGTGATTTGTCACATTTAAATGGTTTTTTGGCGTTTTTGAAATTTCAGCGTTAGGCTGTTTTGATTGCCTCTTGCTTTAATCAGCACAAGCTCCAGAAAAGCAGCTCCTGGCAGCAGAAGGAGAGAACAGCACATTTAAAGACTGGGACAGACCTTCTGCTGGCATCAATCCACTGTCCTTCATGGATTTTTTGCCAGGACAGTTTGGCCCAATGTACACATTTCCCTTGCACATGTTTCACAGCCACCTTGCTGGTGGATGTAAAGAATATACACAGACTGAGCTGCAAGTGCCATTCTTGTGCCTTGCTGGGTGGGAGTGGTTGTCCTGCACACCATGGAGTAGCACCCAAATTTATTTTTCCCCTGAGGAAGTGCAAACTCTATTCAAAGACTTGAAAAATCCCCTTAACTTGTAGCATAATATTTCCAGCTACATCTCCAGCAGTCCCCAGTGCTTTGAAATACCACTTCAGCATTCTTGCAGGAGTTTCAATAGACACAGCACTGAGAGCAAGTAATGAAAGCATGGAAGCAATTTAAGTAACAGCATGTGGGTACACAAAGGACTGGTAATTCCAGCAATGTAAAAAGGGACTGTGAAATGGGGATATAGCATTTATTCAGTGGCCACTTAGGGAGGAAGAAGATATGCCTGTTTCTAAGCTTTACACTGCTCTGCTAATTAGGCAATAGGGGCTAGTGCTTGATTTCTTAAAGCTGTGTCCAGAGAGCAGTGCGTGATTAGAAGGGGACTCGTGGAGAGTCCCCGATGCTCATGTGCTTGAGGCCCAGAGGTTTTTGCCTTTGATTCCAGCTGCTACACTATATTAAAAGACATAAACATGCATTAAATACTTTCCTCATGTTGCTTTTCCCATGTGAGCAAATTGCCCCAGGGATGTTAGTGATCCTGAATGAAGGAGGGAATTCAGGAAGAGGATCTTGCTGGGTGCAGTTGCTGATGCCCTGGAGTGGGGAAGGAGGCAGGGGATGAGGGAACACCAATGTTGATAACCTCTGCTCTGCTGACTTGAATGCCTGGCTGCAACCCAACAACTTCTGGGGTTTCTTTTTAAGTCCAGACTATGCCAACTTTCACATCGGCTTCCCTTACTTGAAAAAAAGAGTAAGGGTAATTTCCTAACCCTTTTCCTGGGCTTCTCAGAAGTGAATCATAGTTTAAGCTGTTTCTTTGGCTGCTTTGTGTGGCAGCTGGAAAGTGCACAAATGTTCTGTAAGAGTTTTCTCTTGTTTCAACCCTTTGGCACCTTGGGATGGAGTGGGCTGAACTGTTGCCACTTCTTAACCCACAAATAGCTCCATGTCATTTAGTCTGATTGGAGAAGGAGGGAGGGGAAGAAAAAAGCTAGGAGCCCAGAGGATGTCCTGCTGGCAGGCTAGCAAGCCCAGCAGCTGCTGCTCTCTCACCTGTAGTAGGGTTGTTTGAGTCAACCACCTCAGCAACACTAAAGGTGCTTTTTCCTTCAGATAAGGAAACATGTTATCAGTCTGGAAGAATACTGAAAGTGTGGCATCAAATGCAATGAACAACCTATCAGCATTCTCTGCCTGCCATGTAGCATTTAACAAGTCCCAGATGAAACAGTTATTCTCTGGTTTTGTTTTATTTCCTTTTTTTGTCCCTTCCCTGCGTTTGCTTATTGGGTTTTTTTTCTCTTTTCTTATGTCTGTAAGCACCTTAATTTCCACCCTTTCTTTCTTTAGGCACAAAGGTTCTTTGCAGCTTTCATCATATGCATAATGTCCTTCAGAGGATGTAAGCTTGTGGTTTTGTAATTATTACTGTACTAGGGTTTTTGAGAGTTTGGGATGGGTGAATGCATTTTACTGCTGAGAGATAAGCACAGCAGTCAAGTCAATTGGAAGTAAATCTTCCTTGTGTGTAGTCAGAGGAAACTCCATCTCTGGATTTTCTAGCAATGTGGCTTTTTTTTTTTCTCCTTTGAGTTTTTGTAGGTGTTTGCCATTTCGCTGCAGGACGCATTTCTAAATTCAATTCACAGTCCCCCCTTTTCACTGCCCCACATATGCAACTTTTTTTGGTGATTCACCTTTCCTTAAAGACTCTCTCATTCACGTGCTCTCACCATTGATGATGATAAATTGATTTTGCATTTTTTTTCTTTATATTCTTCTATTATATTTCTGTTTCTTACACATAGTATTTGGATGTATTTATAGCATATCATGGTATTTATAGCTAGCATTTCACCTCCTCTGTTAGACAGAAAGACAAAATTAATTCCCTAGCAGCTCCAAGCTGGGGGTCCAAGGTTTAGATTCTTGGGAACCAAGGCTGAAACTAGCTGTCCGAGCCATATTTCATAAACTTAAGTTCCTATCTAAAAGAGGGGGAATTGAAAGAAGGTTGAACT